GATTTTGTTGTGGTCGAGAAACAAGGTTGTCATCTTACATTGGGAAATCAAAAAGGTGGGAAATTCCTTTAAGTTGCATGATGCCAATCCTAGATTTTCTAATTCTAGTAGGGTGACATTTACGTCGTTTGTATCCACAATTGATATCTTATTAAAACCTACAAATAGACTTTTGAGTTGGTGAAGTCCTAGGAACTTGTCTAAGTATACTTTGCCGCTAAAAATGTTATCATTCAAGCAGAGAATTCAGAGACTTTTGAAATTGGAAAATAAGCTTGGAATTTTTCCTTGCAATTGATTCATTGCAAGGTCTACGAAGCTTAGTTGGGTCAAGTTCATAAACGAGGATGGGATATGACCAGAAAGAGAATTATGCGACATATCGAAAATTCTAAGCTTTGTTAGGTTTGAAAGAAAGGAGGGGATTTCACCAAATATGTTCCCCCGAGATCCATACAACTCTTGGAGCTCAGTCAATTTCCCAATCCAGTTGGGTAGGCTCCAATTTTCGAACTTGTTATTAGAAAATTCCAAAAGAGCAAGTTTCGAAAGGCTTACCAATGAAGGAATGGTTCCTGTGAGCTCATTAAACCCAATAGTCAATCGAACGAGTTGTGTCATGTTAGCCACTTCGCTTGGAACGCGTCCTGAGAACAAGCAATACGAAAGATCCAGTGTGATCAAGTGGGTTAAGCTACCGAAGGATTCTAGTATATCCCCATAGAAACTTGTTCTTCATAGAATCAAATGCTCAAGTAAGCTGTTGTTACGAAATTCAGGCAAGGAACCAGTGAGGTCCATGTTCTTTCCCAAGTCAAGAACTTTAAGCTTTGGCAGTTGAAGTATGGTTGTAGGGAATTCATTCTGAAACCAACAATCACTGAGATTTATAAACCTAAAGGAAGAAAAATTGCCCAAAAAATCAGGTACCGAAGAGCTAATGTCAACCCCCGAGAGATCGAGTTCTTCAAGCGGAGTTAAGTTTTGCATTAGATTCCCAAGACTAGGACTTTGAAGCTCTAGCTTATTCCTTGACAAATCTAACAAAGATAGTTGTATCAACTGTGAGATCTCTCGAGGAATTTGGCCACTGAATCCAGAAGCAGAGAGATTTAAGCTTCTTAACTGCTTTAAGCGCCCGATTTCAGATGGGATTTGAGATTCAACAAAGTCATTCTTGGCTAGGTTGAGCGTTTGAAGATGAACAAGGCGGAAGAGGAGGGTAGTAGAGTTGATAGGGCCACGAAGAAAGCTTTT